CCCTAAACCCCGAACCCTAAACCCCGTACCCTAAACCCCGGACCCTAAACCCCCGAACCCTAAACCCTAAACCCCCGAACCCTAAACCCTAAGCCCTAAACCCCCGAACCCTAAACCCTAAACCCTAAACCCCCGAACCCTGAACCCAAAGCCCAAAGAGTCGAAGCGCTGGACTCCTTCTCTGAGACAGCGTTTTTTGCCCACGCTTTGCGAGGCCTTGCCGTTGCCCCGTGGATGTCCCACCCCCAGCCAGGAAGTGCCGGACGATGTTGCCATTAGTTTTTGGGGTTTAGGGGTTTGGGATCAGGGTTAAGGGTCACTTTTCCTATGAAGCTACTGTTACTCATACGATTGCTTTTGCTTTTGCTGCTGCCGCTGCAGCTACAGATGCAGTTGCCATTGCCAGTATTTGTATTCGCGCTACTGCTTGTACCAATACTCCTACGCTACTACGAACTATTGCTTGGAACTAGTTCTAGTTCTAGGACTGGTACTATTGGCTTCTCCATAATTTCTCCATTGACATTAGCACTACTAGTACGATTATGCTTTCTATTACTACGCGCGTGTAGTATTGGTGAATATTTTGTTGATGTTGGCATTCGTATGGTTGTCCTTACAGCGGCTGCTGTTGTCGTTGCTGCTGTTGCTGTTGCAATTGTCCAGACCCTAAACCCTAAACCCTGAACCGGGTTTAGTGTTTTCTTGCGGTGTACCTTAAGATCCCCAAACCTACTTTTATGTAGGGTCCCTATAAATCCCATATTAGGGTGTATAATAAGAACCTGCAAAACCCTAAACCCTAAACCCTGAACCCAAAAAAAAGTGGGTTTTGGGTTCTTAAGGTAGGGACTTAGGGCATATGCAAGCAATAACTGCGGACGATCCGGGCTCAGGATTTCGGGGCGAAGGAACAGGCTGACATGTAATGGTTTAGGGTTTAGGGTTTAGGGTTTAGGGTTTAGGGTTTAGGGTATAGTAACTCTGAGTAACTCTTACAGCAACCTTTACAGTAACGTTAGAGTTTGGCTTTAGGTTCGGGTTTGGCGTTCGGGCGGTTGGAATTGAGGGTTCGCGGGCTTCGCGGTTTAAGGGATCGACATTGACGGCTGTACGAAGACGCTGCAAACGAAAGTCAGGTCTTTCGTTTTTTCAGTCTGGAGGAGTAGGGTTTCAGAACAAAGCGCTCGGATCAGGGCTACCGAAAAGATAGCATGCATGAAACCCTAAACCCTAAACCCTAAACCCTACTAGACCTGAAACCGCGCGAGACTCAAATCCCGAAGCCCGACACAGTCACACAAAGCTTTCACAATCCGTACCCTAAACTACAGCGTCCTTTTCTGTTAGGGTTTAGGGTTTACGCTGCAGCGATCTGGCCCTAATAGAAACTTCTAATAAGAGAGACACAGGGCCCAAGATAGGTTCAGGGGTTTAGGATGTGCCGCAGAAGAGGCTGATTCCGGCGTACGGCAACCCGGCCTGCTCGGTCACTGGCCAAGCGTGCGCCGGTTTGGCCTCTGCCAAAAGGTTAACCCTAATATAGGGGCCTTAATAA